ATTATGTCTGACACTACATTAATCTGTTTCAGGACATTTTGACTATTGAACTACTGAATGTAGACTACATGAACTTTAAGCAAAACATAAAAGTAAGCAAATTAAATAAAGTAATTTAATACAAGTTAGTTGATTTTATAGTAAAAACAAACAAACAAACAAAAACAAATAAAATAAAAATAAAAAACAGTAGTTGAGGCTGCCAGAAATTCACTGTAAAAAATATGGTAGCAACATTAAGTTTTACAAATTAAAATTAAATTTACTGTAAAAAAGATATATGTTAATAACCAAATAATGCAAATAAAGTTAATATATCAAATTACAAAAATATTTTTGCCTTTTATAATATATAATAATAATGTTCATCCCAAGTAGTCTTCACACAAAATAAGGTAAATATTAATATAGAAAACCCTAATTTATATAATTAATACGAAAAAAATATATAAATTTAGTTAAGAAAACCCATCAAATGTGAGCTGTCACACAGAGAATGTGAATTGACATTTTTTCATTGTAAATTATAAGATGATTTGCTCTTTTACTTCCAAAACCTGCACATTTAACACAATTTTACTGTAAACTTGAAAAAGTCCCATTAGATATTTTACCGTTTTTCACAGTATAGAGTAAGGGAACTTACTGTTAACCAATTAAAAGGTTTTTAGGATTTTAGTCTTTTACTATTAAAATGACAATAATTTTTTTTAGTGTTTTAGATTTTTCCTCATCAAGAAAAAAACAAAACAATTGCCTCTAGACAATCACAGCAACAATATTACAGTAATATATTATCATTGTCATTTTCACTATAAATGAGACATGAGATGGTGTTGTGTTTGTATGTAGGAGTGGACTGATATACATCGAATATACATCTACTCACTCAATACTGCAACTGACCAATCAGGATCAAGTATTCCAGAGTGTGGTGTGATGAAATAGTTGCCATAGGGTTTTAAAAGTGTTCAAAAGGTCTGTTGGGTGGCTCCAAAGGTTCTGGGCAGTACATAATATCTAAGTCTTTCTGTACACCATTATGTAAAGAGAGAATGACGTAGTAGTTGCATAGCACCATCAGCATCCAGCTAAAGAAGTCCATTCTATTTCTAAATAAAACTAAAGGCTGCACTCTGAATTGTAGAGGGCAGAAGACGAGAAAAAGAAAGACTGAAAGAGAGTCCTTTGCTGCAGCGGACTCCTCAAATCCATTAACACAGCAGAGATAGAACATAAAGGATGACAGCAGCAGGGAGGCAGAGAGGAAAGCCCCCAGGGATGTGATCAGAAGCACATCTTTCAAGCTGACAAAAACTACACACGGAATAAAGACAGCATGCACTCCGAGATGCTTATAGACTGTTACAACTCTGGTTTCTCTAAACCAACATGAGCTCACATACTTCAGAGTGCATTTTAGCTAGGAGATCACCCCTTATCTAGCACAAACACGGCACTGATGGACGGAAAACATTAAAAATCTGCTTGAAGACTAGCGTTGTGAAAGCAGAGAGTTGGCATGGCTGATTTCAGGTTTGCTGCCTGTATTCCCTGCAGGTCCCCTTGTTTGTCTTCAAAGCAAGCGGTACGCTATTATGAGCTAATCTACAGCAGATCAATACGGCACACTCCAAGCATGCTCAGCCTGACTAACACAATCACTTCTTACATGGCTTCTCTGCAGAGACACAATGGATCTCTGTGGACATGCACTGTGGCGCGTTTGCTGTTTTCTGAGGAGAAACGTTGTAGCAAAGTATTTCAACTGCTCGTGATGTTTTCGCTTCAGTGTTTCAAACTGATAAACATGGGAAGCTACATTTCTGACATATCAGTCAAAATACTTGGTCCCACTTTATATTAAGTGTCCCTAATACCTGTGTACTTGCATAGTAACTAAATGTGTACATGGTATGTAACCACAGTGTAAGTACACATTGGTACATAGTATCTACAGCTCTAATGTTTGTGTAACTACACATATGTAACAACCCACTGAATGGTATGTGTAAGTACACATGTGTAACAGGACATTGGTAACAACACTTTTTGGTAATGAAAGTACAAATGTGTAACAGGACTAACAGCACTTTTTGGTAAAGAAAGTGTTACACTTTATATTAGATTTACCATGTAATTACTCTGATGTTACACAGCAGCGGCCAGTAAGTTAGGCTTTACATATAAATTGTGGTTGGTGTCCAGAATGTTACACTTTATATTAAGTGGACAGTTCCTGAGGATTTACCATGTAAGTACACTGGTATTACAGTGGTGCACCAACTCCACTAACTTGAGATCCAACTCCTCCCACTTTACATATCCCTAAACCTGCCCATCTCCACGCCCTGGATCCCATTTCCACCCCTAAACCTGCCCATCTCCACCCCCTGGATCAAATGGTTTCAATTCCTCTTATACATATTGTTGTTACAAAATGTAGTTATATAATTCCTGTTACACAATTGTTACACAAGTACTTAGTGAAGTGATAAAAAGTGGTTACCAATGTCCTGTTACACATTTGTACTTACACAAATCATCCTGAGGGTTGTTACATGTGTGTATGTTTTCACTCAAAAACTGTACATTTGATGGTATTTTAAAATTAAATGCCCAACTACTGTAAATCTATTAACTAATTAACACGCTTTTACCGTAGGATTTGTAGTTTTTAAATTAGCAATTTTATTCCAGCATTATCATAAATGCTCAAAGAAATAAATAAAATAAAATACAAAAATAAATAAATAAATAAAATAAAAAATAAGATTGAACAGAACAGATTGAACACTTGTGCATTTACTTACCCTCCTGTCCTTTCTTTCTTCTGTGAAACAAAAAGTAGATATTTTGAAAAACATTGGGGTCCAAATAACAAAGTCATACAAGTGACATGAGGCTGAGCAAATGAGGAAAGTCTCTATCAACTATCATTTTGCAATGTTTCACATATATGTGGTTAGGGCCACTTTTAGCTTTGCATTATTATTATTATTATTATTATTATTATTATAGATTGCTGTGCCAAAAGATGTACACCGTGAAATAATGTGGTTCTAAAATGTCACCGTAAGTGGTTTAGCAACAAACAACCAATGATAATCCATGCTGCTTATGTTAAATATTCATGAACAAAACTCTCACATTCTGTGTTTCCTTTCAGTGTTTGACAGAAAAAAATGAACAGTGACCGCAAACTTGGAATGATCGACGAGTAGTTATTAAAACACGTTTCATGCTGCACTTGTCAAATGAATGTTGTTAACCTCGTAATATGCAAATAACAACCTGCAAGGGTTTGCAGGGTGAAGTCTCAAAACCTGACTACTCAAGACTGATTAATAACCCAGGGTAAAGTATAAGTTGCTGACTAGGATTAAGTCAAAAGTGACTTCGGGTTAACCAGTTCAAGTGTGAAAAACTCAGTAGTGCCTGTTTAGTAGTTAGTATATCTCTGCAAGAACTCAGAAGAAATTCATTTTCCATCAGCCGAACAGCTTCAGTGTGTGCATGAAAAATGTCACTTTTGTAATGAAGACAAGGTCAAAGCAAAGACGTGGGTTTCTCAATAAATTCTTGAAATCATTTTATTTTGCACCTCAAAACAAGACGGGAATGAGTATGTGGTACATTGGGAATGTAGACACAGCTGTACTTTTACAAAATTTTTTTTTGGTGTAAGCTCAGAGAAAACAAAATTGTTAATACAGTCATAATAATTGCACTTCATAAATCTAGACTGTAGCCAGCTGTTTGCCTCCACCAGAAACCCCCCATCGACTCACTCTCGAGTTTCTAAATTCAATTTACCGGTGAAATTTGACAAAAGAAATGCTAATTTAATGCCAGGGACCGCTGTGCCCATCCAATTTTTCTTTATTTCCCCCCTCTGTGTCCCACAAGGCATTAGTCTTCTCAGTAATCTAAGTGCAGTACATTCACAGGAAAGTCACAGTCGGAATAAATATTTCAGTGTTGAGACAGAGCTTACGAGTGGCCTCAACCCGGCTCGAAACCGCTAGCACAGAGCTGAGAAAAACGCTCGGCCCCTCTCCTTCCACCTCTGTTTGAGAGGCAATGATTGTTTTTATCGTTTCAAAAAGAGGAATGGTCAAGCGACACCTCTGACAGTTTACCTCCCCTCAGGTCCTCATTTAATGGAGTCACCGTGAGGGAAGAGTCGTTTGATCCCTAACCAATCGAGAACAAGATTTCCAACAACAGACGGCTCATTTTCAGAATTCCAAATCCGATTCATTTCGGCATGTCCGAATGTGTTTCTATGACTGAAACAGACCTGATCGGCCTAATGTTGTTAATGAGGGCGGTCTCATTTCAGAGCTTTCCAACAACCGGTTACTTTTACATCTGCTTATGTGGAGATTTGATTCCAGTGTAGGTAAATAAATGAGCGTTCTGGTGGTGGTTACACCGTGAGAACAGCAGAAACTTATACTGCAGCCAAAGGAGAATAAAATCAAAATTAAAGACCCTTAACGAAACATTAAAAAACCTAAGCATTTTACACTCTTACTCCCTTAGCAGCCAATGCATATTATATACTACAAATATATATATAAAACAACAAAAATAGGTTCAAGTCTTCAAGTTCTTTAAATACATTATATTCGAACGTCTAATTTCCCACCTCCCAAGACTTTCACACATTTTTACACCCCAAGCAGTGCAGTTTCTTTGAAAAAACAAGGTTTTTCCATTTTATCCATTAGCGTCACCTAAAAGCACTGATCTAGTTGCCTTTTTGGTCTTTGAAATGTTGTAATGCGTGCATACTGTTACCTCTTACAGTGTTCTGTGAGCACAGGTTCAACCGTATCTTGTATCTTTTACAGACAAGCGTGGTGCTTTAAGACCATCATCTTCATCGCGTTAATGCAAATGGTTACTTGGGGAGGAGAGGAGGCCATTTTTACTTCATTTAAACTATTGACTCTCACCAAAAATAAAAATATTAGTCTGATAAAATAATTTGAAAGGAAAAATAGAGAAACAATTGGAAAACAACAAAAAAAATCCCTCTTGGCAAAAAGAGAGAAAAGAATCACAGAATCCACATTTAGGAACATTCCAATTCCCAGCCAGCAATTCTCTCCCAGCTCTGAGCCGAGAGGCACCGATTGGCTTTCCAGCATTCACCCAACCGTATTCTGATCCAGATCTCCCCCAGTCTGCTTTGAGCAGGATCACCAAACTCCACTGCAAATCTAGGCAATGGCAACAACTGCAGTTTGTGATTAAAGATTTTGCAGTCGCTCTTTATATCGGTCAGCCCCGTCTCTTATCTGTAAACAGGGAGGCGGATGTGTGCATGCTGGTGGTCCAATAGTCTCGGCACAGACACGGTCTCATATCCCTTCCCCAACATCTGCTCCTTGATGCAGGGAGGATGGATGTCATTGATCAGGTATTCCAGTGATTGCAGACTGCTGCTCAACACTGACGTATTACATAGACTCTTACTGGGCAAACTGCAGCACAGACCACCCGTGCTGTCTATGGGCGGGTGGTGATGATGATGATGATGGTGGTGGTGATGATGATGAGGGTGCTGGTGAGGGTGGGGGAATCCCAGCTCCCTGTGTCCCGTCACCGGTCCAGCTGTGGTCGTAGCTCCTGGAAGCTCCTGTGGGTTGTAGCAGTCGCTGTCCGGCGTCACCAGAACGCTGTTCCACGGCGGTGCAAAGTACTGACCGACAGAAAAGTTCCCATGCATCCCCACACAGTTCAAAGGGGAGGAGCTGACCTTGTCCAGCCCACCCCCGCCACTCATACTGGCCGTCATCGGGTAACCTCTGGAGGAGGACACTTGCGCCCCTCTGAGCATGATGGACCCTCCTGGGGCGCAGGTTTCGGGCGACTTGCTTATGGCGCCTCCGCCTCCGCTCCCTTCGCTGTACATCCTCAAAACCACCTGCTGCTGCTGCTGTTTTTGCCACAGGAGGTAGTCCATACCGTCGGGATACACCCCGGCCTTCATCGCCTCACAGTTGTGCCCTGGCAGCACCGTCCCTGAATAGGCCATGTTTCCCTGCGGAGCCACACTAGTGACGTAAGTCCCCCCTGAGGAGTTAGCGGTGCCCGGTTTGGACGGGCTGGGGTTCGGAGGTCCCGTCGATGCCCCGTTCTGACACACCTGCTGTAGAGCCTGGGCCTGGCAGTGCTGGTTGATCTGGTAAATGATGCTCTGGATGGAGGGAAGATTCGACTGAGGAGGGAGGTTCAATCCTCGGCCCCCCGCAACAGGGATCATGGAGCCGGCCACAGTGACATTAGGGGGGACCGCCAGAGCGGTGGCCTCTGGCGGTTTGGGAGGCCCTGTGTGGTACACAATCTGTCCGTGGCAATGACCTAAAGTGCTGCTGTTGGGAGGCGGATAAGGAGCCACTGCTATCTGCGCCGGAGACAACTTAGTCCTCCTGCCCTCTGAGTTTTTGAGGACGCCCTTTGTGGAGGGTGCGAAAGATGACGAGGAAGATGAGGATGACGACAATGAGACTTTGACCATCGCTAACAGACCCTGGTAGCCCCCTGTGTGGAGGTGTGGGTAGGGGCTGTAGCGCTGTCCAGTGGTGTCGTATCCGTTCACAGTCCGGTTAAGGTGCTTGTGTTGGGGTACCCTGATGTTGGTGGGGAAGATCTTGATGGACAGAGGGCTGTTGGCCGTCTTCTGCGCGTAGGCATCCAGCTCTGCTGCGCTGGGGTAGCGCGGGGAAGGCATGGGGACAGTCAGCTCACCTGCAAGAAAAAAAAAATAGGTAAGAAAACCATGAGTCAGAGTTACGGCCCACAACCTATTTGTCATTTGGAGCTTGAAAGCTACCGGTCACCATCTAATTCATCAGCAGCCAGCACATTCTTCTAAATAGACACTATTCTACATTCCGTACTTGTGTGCACATCCCCATCCATTTTAATAGAGACAAGTGTGCTAAGCCTCAATGAGTCAGTCTGAATGACTACAAAAATGTCAGCTAAGAACAAAAATTGAATGGTACAAACCATAGACGCGTAATTCACAAATAATGTGAATATTGACAGTTTTAAATTCACCCTGTCTATAGAAACTATTTTATTCCTCACCCAGTCCTCTCTCTCTCACTCTACATTCCAGTGGAGGTTCATCCCTGGATAAATAGCTCTTTTTTAACTCGAAATCAGGCACCTAAGGCATTATTAAACCAGCGCTTTGTGAAATTAATTTGGTCTCTCTATTGTTCAAAATTGGGTTACCCTTGGAGACGGAAAGGAGAGCGAGCAGGAAGTAAGGAGGATAAAATACTTGTTTAATTGCACTGACACATTTGAGATTTATAAGTAGCACCAGTAGGTCTTAGCCTTGGCCAGGCCAATTTCTCAATTATTCAATCAGACCATCTCCAAATGAAGAGACAGACCTACATTACCCCTCCCATGAGCCCCTGAAAACTCCACCCACTGGGAAACCATAACCGGGTTTTTTTCAGCCTGTACAGAGAAACTGTGAGACAAAATGTACTGCAAGAGCTTTGTCATAAAACATGATTGAGACATCCATTAAAAACTGCGCTGCGAAACGGACTCACTCCTATTAAAACGCAAAGACGTACATGTTGGGCAGGGCAGGAAATTATAAAAAAAACCCAATAAGCCTTAATGTCTCCGACAGCAAGACAAAGTGTCCTTGTAGTTGGACTCTGTTTTGGCTTGATCGGGGTTTCAAATCAGGCCTGTTCAGAGAAACCCGGGGCTTTTGGGATTCTGAGAAAAACGACTTGGGGAAACAAGGAGAAAGAGCTGCGAGAGGCAGCACAGAGGATGAGCGGAGGTGAAGGGCTGTGGTGAGATTGGATTTAAACGACATTATTCAGGCAATTTCATGGCTACTTAGTTCAGTGCTACAAAAAAGGCAGAGGGGGAGCGGGCAAAGCACTCAATTTACAAGTGATAAATCAACTGCCACAAATGACTACCAACTCTCTCAAAAATTATATTTTAAGGAAAGTGTGCATATTTTCTGCTTGTTTTTATCATTCTGACTAAAATTAAACTGCCACAAATGACAGTGTCAGCAAATGTCAGAGTGGTTTTCCAGAACTCCGGGATCTAGCTGTGAGGAAGTTGTCACATTTCTGATTGTCACACATCCTTTCCTCTCTAGCTTCCATTAAGCTGACACAGGTCAATCACTCAAGCAGCTAAATCCACATCATCCATTGCTCTAAGCCCTTAAAATCTAATAGCGCATGGTAAAAAAAAAAACGTGATGTGGTTGCAGTCAAGAAAACAAACGTTTAGCAATTAATGTTTTTGAAACAAGTCACAACATACACTGTCAAATCTGCAGAAGCAGCTGAGAAATTATTACATTTTGTTTTCAAAATAGTTTCAAAATCATTAGAATTAGGGATGCACCGATACTGAGCTTCTGTACTCGTACTCGTACTCGTTAAAATGCCCCGATACCACACAACATGTGATAAGTGCCATATTCAGACAAAGAAACACTGACAACAGACAGCAGAATTGAGTTATTAGAGATTAAGGATGTCTACGAAGTATATGTATGCAATGAATATAATGTTAAACATTCAGTATTAACGCCTGTATAGTTGATGTGTGCGAGCTGATAAGCAAATCATGCTGAGTGGATTGAGCGTAAGGCAGCGCAGATTCGCGAGTTTGTCGAGTGAATATACCTTTCTCACAGACATCACTGGAAAGTTTGTAGTTTGGTCGGATATGTCCTAAACAAGTAAAACAATGCACAAGTTACTTAACGGTAGGGGGAGAGAAGCGTGCGCAAATCTGTTGTGTGATCTTTGATGTTCACTCACTTAGCACACGCATCATTTGGATCAAAACTAAATCCTAAAAATAAGACCATTTATAGGGGCATTCACTAGAAACAATTTATTTTTAACCTTAGGCATACACGACTTTCTGGCGAAAGTGAATCTAGCAGACTGTGAAATGCGCTAGGCTGTACTACTGTCCTCTCATTCTGCATCAGTACAAATACCTGTGCGCGTTGCGCGTGTTTTGCTTGCTTGAGTGTTTCTGCATTATATGAGTGGCTTTGGAATATAAAT